AGTAACCGATTTTTTGTACATTATTATGTAAAAAAAGTATTAAGGTAATCAAAAAGAATATTTTATGAGATATTTCATATCTTTTTTCGTGATAAATAAATGGAAGATATCAGAATAAAAAGTAAAATATTTCGAAAAGTGTTCATTTTTCGATGATTTTACTCGGGTACTTTTATATGCAATGAACAAAAGAATCGAATTGTGTTAAAAAAAAAAAACTATATAATTCTATTAAAAAAAAAAACAAAATAAAGTTGATATTGAAATGACCTGGTATAATTAACTATACAACAAAGTTAAGGCCATTACCTTATGTCTTTCTCAAAACCTTACAACTTTTATCTGATACATTTTTTAAAATGTTTTAGGCGTTTAAAATGCATTGTTCAAAGAGATATTTATGGTTATTATTTAAAATGAGACACCCTGTATATACAAAGAGGTATGCAGCCACAAATAGTTACTCTCTTGTTTTTTAAATTGAAGAATATAAATACCATAATAAAACTTTAATTTAACAACTAGCATAACAATGATCAATGCATCGAAAGCTTAAGAAGAGAGAATTTAAACAATTTATCGTAAATGTAAATGGAAAGTTGTACTCACTTGTAAATCGAGACAAATTACACATTCCGTCATATTGATACTTTGAATGAAATTACACTCTTGACTACTAGTCGAAGCTTCCTCAAGTGGCGCGGAAGGTGTTATGGGTGTTCGAGTAGATTCATTCAGCTTTATCTCCGCTAAGTAATTCTCCACTGCTAGCATTATAGCGGCTCGATCCTTCTCGCAACTTATACCCATCTATAAAATCAAAGAAACACACAAAATAAGGTGATACGTACATAACAAAGTGATTAAATTTTAAACCGATATGAGAAATATGTTTACGGAACTTTACTAAGAGATCTTTCTAAAAGAAATTCTCTAATTAATGTACAGTCTCGTTGATTTTCTAAGATAAAGTCGCGTACGTTTTTTAATTGCTCATCACTGATGTCCGGTAACAAGGATGGCAACGCAGCCAGGAACGGAAGGCAATGCAATGCCCCCGCTATTGCGACGTGTCGAACCAACATGGGTTCCAACATTTCCAACAGCCCTTGTGGTCGCGCTTCCATCAAGGATTGATACTGCATCAGCCAAAACAAACTGCCACGTCTAGCATTCTGTTAACATATTTCGTAGTGTATTACTTCTCATAGTTTGTCAAAAATATTTCTCAGAGAAAAAAGAGATCATTTACAGAAATACATCGTTGTTGCTCTATTGTGTTTATCGTCTCCAACAGCTGATCTCTTCTAGTTTTTTGCTGTTCCAATAAGTCCACCAAAATAGCTGTCAGGGCCACGCGTTTGTCAGCGATTTCGTTCTAAAAAAAAAAAAAAAAGTATTGATATGCGTCGATTCTTAAAATGTCATATGACACTGATTATATGACACTTAAAATGTTATATTACACCTCTCTTTTTGTATTTCTTGTACATACAGATTTTACATAAATGTACGACGTCTGTCAAGAAAGTATCCGACTTATGGAAATATCTCTGTGCCTGAGTCTATTATATATTATAGAGAACAAGTATTTTTCTTTTGGGAGTAACTTTTGTGAATATTCCAGCCAAGTGTGGTGTGGCCGTAGAGTCCTCCAATCGATAATGGTACGCAATGGTGTGAGCGTCTAAATCTATGAGTGATGCATTTTTGCACAATGACCAATGTCGAATAACGAATTTGCGTAAAATTTTGCCAAAAACTTGGACATTCGTGTGCGGAAACAATCAGTATGATTCATAAGGCTTATGGGGATGAATCTCTGAATGAAACACAAATTAATGAGTGGTTTAAACGATTTAAAAATGGCCACACTTCAATGGAAAGTGATCTTCGATCACGAAGGTGTTGTTTACCATGAATACCAACTCCAAGGGGTCAGACGGTGAACAAAGAATACTAAGAATTTTTAAGAGATTAAAAAATATAGTGAGAAGAAAACGGTCTCAAAGTGGTGGTAGGTTATTTCATCACGATAACGCACTAACCTATTCATTTCATTTTATCCAGAATTTTTTGACCAAACACGAATTTTCTAACGCAAGTCCGTCAGTCTCCGTACAGTCCTGATATAGTTTCACGTGAATTCTGGCTATCCCGAAATTGGAATCGTTCTTGAAGAAAAAAATATTTGAAGATATGAAGAAGATAAAATGTGACGAGGCAGCTGCAGGCTATTCCAAAAGCTAAGTTAAAAAATTGTTTTAGAAAGCAACGTTAGAAGAAAGCTATAGCTTCCAAAAAAAAGTACTTTGAAGCAGATATAATCGCCATTGAGCAGAGTAGCTCTTTCTCTTTATATAATATAAGGTTGGATATTTTCTGGACAGACCTCATAAATGCGACATCAGTGTAAATGCGATGAATGTGCGCTATTCTGTTTTCCTATACCTAACAAAAAGTCGAAGATATATAAACATTTTTCTGCAAACTTTTTCATGTTGTACAAGCTGGATCTACAATGAGAATTTAAGGCGTAAGATTTAAGAAACTGATGAGCCATAATTGATTTTTTTTTTTATAATTCAACTGTGATTGGTCAATTTCTTAAGGCTTAAAGCTTAAAGCATTTATTGTAGATCAGGATTTAGGCTTCTAAATTTAATTGTAAAGATGTAAAAATGTTCTCTGAAATTTTTCTACTGATTGCAGTATTGACACATCAGTATATACAAGCTACAGAGTTTCTATATCAGATGAATATTTATGCTGACATGTAGAGATGTTAATTTTGAAATTCTTAGTTGTTTTCATCACACTGAACAGTGCTCCAATTTATTTTCGTGCATATTTCTATCGTGTAAAAGCATTTGTATATACAATTCTGTGCAGTTCATACAACGCAAACTGTGCAGAAAAAAATGAGTATTTGGCTGGCCAAGCTTAGTATAGAAAGCAAGTATGGTATCTCCTTAATGCGCTGTTGAAGTTATAAACTTACAAGTTGCTGGTTGATCTCCAGTTTTTTCCTTTCCAGCTCGATGGTGGTGAGTGCTGCCAATTGCGATTGCACTAGATTCACTTGCTGAACGATGCTCCAAGAACGCGCGTCGCTACGTTCCAGCAACGTTGCAACCGCTGCTTTCTGCAGGACCTCGTCCTGTCGCAATCTATCGATGAGGTCTTGCCTGTTCTTCTCTTGGTCATGCATTATTTGTGCCAAATGGTCATTGTTCCTCACTTCTCTGAAAGAGTTTGCATTTTATCTTCATTAACTCACTTTTAAAGAGTAATCTCATCTGTAAAAAACTGAATGGGTTTCAAATTATTGCTAACAATGTGAGCAGCGATTGTGCCGTGTAGTTCCTGTATTTAGTGTATTCCTCCAGTTTGCTCGCCTTGCGCATCTCTTCTTCCAGTAACTTTTCCATCGCAACTGCAAAATAGATCTATTCGTGTATTTATGCGCGGACTACTCTGCAACGTATATTTATTCTGATTCTCACAAAGAGTATCCTTCGTACGAAGCATGAACTGCTCCGAATGGCATGAACTCAACAGACTTATCTCCTCTCGCTTCTCTCGCTCCAGTAATTCAGCCTGACTTTGTCTTTCCTCCTCGCTGTTCCTCAGGAACTCCTTAATCACATTATCGGCTTCTTTCTCAGCTAAACAAAAGTAATTTCTGTTTAATGAATCGCACATTTCATATCTTGCAAAGTTTGTGGAAAATGATCGGAAATAGTTATACCGTTGTAAATGTATGAGAGTAAACGCGCCCTATTAGTGTCTTTTTCTTGCTGCATCTTCTCGAGCTCTTGCTCCAATTGTATTTGCTGTAGTGCCAAATCCTCTAAAAGCTGGGAACAGAATATTTTTGATATACAAGATGCTTGTTATCTATTCAACATAATTGAATGTAATTTTTCATGAGATTAAGATTCCGGAGTAGTCGCTATGACTGTCTTTGTTTAATGACGTTAGAAGCGAGAAAACGCATCAAGATGTTTGTGTTATATTTTCAAATAAAAAGATATATCCATAAAATGACGTTTGTGATCGATTCAACATACTTATAAAATTGGATGAACACTTTTCTTTTACTCAAACAATCAATAAATAGTCGCAAAATTAATTTGACACGGAATCTTTTTTTCCAACTTCTTTTCTCATGATTTTGTTAATATTAATTTTACGACTACTTATTGATTAATTTTATAACGACTATTTATTGATATATAAACTTGTTATTCGAGTAAGAAAAGTGTTTGTCCAATTTTATAAGTTTGCTAAATCGATCACAAATGTCATTTTGTGAATACATCTTTTTATTTGAAAGTATAACGCAAAAAATTTTGACATGCGTTTTTTCGCTTCTGACATTAAACAAGGACAATCACAGCGACTACTCCGGAAATAGCTGCATATGCTACTTGGTTAATGCAAAGTTTTAATATATCATCACAAAATGTTCTATAATAATCACTTTTTTTCTATGAGCCTTGAGCATAGATTGCACCTCTATCTCATATTCCTGCTGCTGTTTTATGTTCTTCTCTACCTCCAACAAAGCATTCTGCCGATGTTCCTATCGAGAGTGATTTTTATTATTATAACAAACTATTTTAGGACACTTAAAACATTTTTAGACTCACAAATGTATGTTTAATTTTTCGTTTTTGCTCGTGCAAAAAAAACCACAGGAAATAAAATGAATTAGACGAGTAAATCAGAAATAAATACGAAAAGAAATGTAAAGGCTGAGAAGCATACGAAACTCAAAGAAGCATCCAACATGCCTTGATTTTGTCTAGCTTCTGTAACATTGCCTAAAAGAGAAATAAGAAACGGTAAATAATAGATTGTCGAAAGCACACGCTCTGCGACAATTGTGCATACTAAAAACAATTTACCACACAAATTCATTATTCTTTATTATATTTAAAAAATTGTGATATAATGCATTAAGCGATAAATAGTACCTGCACGTCGTTACTTTTATTATGATATACCGCCTGCATGTCCTCCGAGCTTATGTCTTTGGAGATGTCGCTAGTCTCAGATATCGAATCCTCTGGCGAGTAATCAATGCCGCTCTCATTTGCCAAGAAAGCGATGATCACAATCGTGCCGCCAGTTAAGATATCCTGTGGTGGATACGACAGGTTCAGTCCGTCAATATTTAAATTTGTCAAGTGCTGGACATAGCCGAGGGACTTGGGCAGCTTTTGCAGCGACTTGTTGTGACTAATGTCCAAGGCAGTGAGCTGCTGCAGCTGTCCGATCCCCTCGGGCAGCTGTTTCAGATTGTTCTTTGAGATGTTGAAGATTGTTAGTTTGTTTAATTGAACTATTTCATTAGGCAGTTTGCGCATATTGTTGTCTTGTAAATAGAGTTCCTGGAAAATATACAAGATATAAGAAAAAATGAACAATTGCAAGAACTATCCTAATATCTAATGAATAATGCACCTTGAGAGAAGAGAGACACATTATGTCCGAGGGTAAAACAGCAAATTCGTTTCCATGAATGTCTAACACAGTCAGCAGCGACAAGTCACTTAAGGCACCTCCGCCTGAGAGCGAGTTCAATTTATTGTTGTACATTAGCAGGACTTTTTTCCTGAACACCTTGCAGAGTGAATAGATCCCCGATGGCACATGTTTCAAGGCGCACTCCGAGATATCGAATATTGGCTCCGGATTTTCCCTGGCCTGTCGAAAAAAAATAATCATTACTGTGCGCATCAAATTGCCGTCACAGACGTTAAAGCCATTAAATCATAGGCTAATATAGCGTGGCTAAATGTTTGACAACTTCTCGAACTATTACCAAGACGATGGTGACTGATGATAATTAAAGGTAAGGTCGCTTTAACCTCAATTTCTCTAACCTCAATCCATACACATGCACAAATATACGCACCAGATATAACTTGTACTCGAGCCGCGCCTTGTAGTCGACGTTAGCCTTGTTCCCGTGTTTCTTTGATAGAGACATCCTTGCTCGCATTCGTCATGACAAGGCGAGCAAGGATCCCAAGCAGCAGCTCGCTTCGCGTTTCACACGTGATAACAGTGATAATCAGTGATAACGTCAAGCCAAGTCGCAAAAGGTCAGACATGAGCATGGATGTAAAAATATGGATGGAGCATAAGCTGAGTTTATAAACAAGGGGGGTGAAGCTGATTTGAGGGACGAGGTATGTCTAAAACTGTGCCTGGATTTGATTGGTTGAATTGTACTCACGCGCAGTACCGCTAATTATAAACGAAGTAATAAGAACATGAACATATAATTTAGAATAATACGTGAAAAATTAATAACATAATGGGTAGGAGGCGATTCTATGCAATCATGCTTTTGGAATACTATGAAGAATATGTAAAAACAGCCTGTTTTTCATTTACAGTTTATAATCATTAAAAGGTTATTTTACCTATGAAATGTGATTTTTCATTCACTTTGCGTGTGTTTTTTTCCAATTTTGGCAGTCCGATCTGCTTTTGCACAAAGGAGTAAACTACTGCATCATTACTCCAACGATTATTAATAATAATAAATAAGACAATACTTGCTAACCTCTTCACACATGCTCAAACGTTACATGGATGCTTACATGGACGCGAAGACGGTACTATGTACGCTTGCGTATAGTAAAAACCAATCAAAACCAGACACAGTTTTTACTTCGTCTTCTTCTCTCTCTGTGGCTTCATCCCTCTGAGATTACACTCCATCCATATATTCCTACATCCATGGAGATGAGTCAGTATATTTTGTGTTCTCATGATTTGTGATTGTCAATGTGTCTACCATAGGCCGGTATTCATAGTCAAATCTTATATTTAAGCTGTTTTAGGTTTATCTTCAGATGCTCTATGTTTCATTTCATTGACTACAAAGCATCTGTGGATAAACCTAAGACTTACATATAAGATTTGACTGTGAATACGGGCCATAGACATAGTAAGAATAGACCGAGCATGTTCTCTAGTAAGCAATGAAGATCAGATAGAAAGAGACGGACAATAGTGCCGTGTAGCTTTCTCTCTTTAATGAGGAATGAGTAAACTTTCCTCATTTAAGCCTGTTCTATAATATGTCGTATATCGTTATCGGATGTCGGCAACGTTTGTCGCGTGGCATAATGAATTATACGCACTTTGGTAGGGAATCGGAACGTAGCCTACCATGTACACCGTGTAAGCCTATGAGACAAAAGCCATATTTAAGTAGTATTTCGCTCTCTGTCTTATTAATATGCTATATAGTCTCAAATAAAACAAAGACGGACACAATAAACAAAAGGTCTGTTTTTTTCGAAACGCTTTCTGCACTAGTGCACACTAGTGCAAGGAGTTTACACTAAAGCGTTCTTTTTATCGAGAATGACGTCATCATGATGTCATCAACGCTACTCGTTTTCGCAGTGCAACAACATGTAGTGCAGGCAGTTCAGTGAACTGTTGTACTGAGTCAGGAGGTAGTGTGGTCAGTGCAGTGCATGAAAGTGTAGCTTGGAAGTGCATATAAGCGTAACGGAAATTTATACGAAAAGCCTCTATCAGGTATGTGGCTTGCATTTGAAATGTGTGAAACATCTAATTTATTTTATTTTCGAAAATTGTTAATATTATACCATCACACACACATACACAGCAGAAATATCCAAACTTATCACAAGGATGAATTAAAGATGTCAAGATATCTTTATGATTTTATATTTATATTTATTTTATATTTGGTCATTTATTTAAATTTATGATCGGTAGGGTATATAATATTATAAATTATTAATAAATTTTCTATACTTAGTTGTATATTACATTCACCGTTTTCATCTACAATGGGTTGTAATAGTGGTTGTATTACAACAAAATCCTCTTCGTCAAAAGAATCAAATAATGCCATGTGATGCGCCGTGTTGTTTACTACACTCTGGCATTTCAGCGGTGCAGCGAAAACGAACAGACCTCTTCATTGCCTTTTTGAACTGAAGTCAACTATTCTGTACTACTCTTTTCCAGTGCGGTTCAGTTACGTCCCGGACGCGGATGTTGGATTATTGAAAGATACGGAGTCGCGCCGCGAACGTAAGGGTTCGGGTGGAGTGTAAATGTCCTTTTTGGGTCAATGGATTTAACCAATTTACCCTGGGATGGACGAGGCTGTGTGAATGCTGTTGTGGATATGGATGAGCGGGTATGTGCGTGTGTGTGTGTGTGAGATTGAAGGAAGTTAATAGATAAAAAAAATTAAGTTGCAAGAATTAAATTTATTTACGTTTAAGGAGTTGTTCTGAGTTAAGTCGTACTTGACGTAGAAGTCGAAAGAGAGTCGCGAGGGAACAAAACTAAACTAAACTAAAACTAAACTAAAACCTTTGCTTCGCTTCTCGCGTCACCTTTTATAGGTAGGTAATGAGACACCCCCGCGCAGGTTCCTCATTACCCAATCAGGGGCAAGGTGCATCTTACGCCATAAAAAATGAGTCAATTGGGTTTTTCTCGCGATGCATTAGAACTGTGGGTTTTCCAGCGTTATCGCTGCCGATTGCTTCGTCCGAAGCAATGATCTGATACCTCGGGGTATCCCCAACCAGAAGATGTTGTTTAACACTCGAGATTCTTTCGGCGCTATCGCTGCCGATTGCTTCATCTGAAGCAATGATCTGATACCTCGGGGTATCCCTAACCAGAAAATATTGTGTAACCCGTTACGCGAACGTAACATAGTTCAGTTTAGTGCAATTCTAGTGCAGTTTTAGTGTAGCGAAAAAAAACAGACCTATAGACGAGGATATTGCTTGGATATTGGATATTTCCCTTAATGCTTGTTTTTAATGCTTTAATACGTTAATACTTGCTTTAAATTAGTTTTCTTAGGGATGAAATATACGATAAGCACAACCATCTATTACTATCATATTAGGTAAATCGGAAAGTTCCGTCCATCTAGTGGCAAGTAGCTATAGCTAGATTTGTCGGTAACTCTAATGTTTAAACCAAATTTAATTTTTTAGTTTTACCATCCGTCAATAAAATTCAGTATATAAAGATATACGTTCGCATCAATAATTGTTTTTTACTGCATTGAAAATGTCGAAATTTGAACCAAAGTGTCATTTGGGCGAAGTGTTAATCTTTTGCTTCAAATGGAAGAAAACTACAGCTGAAGCTCATCGAATGCTTATAGAAGTTTATGATGATAGTACTTCTTTCGATGAAATATGCAGTAATTCATGATTTCGGCGCTTTAAAAGCGGTGATTTTTATGTGGGGGACAAAGAGCGTTTTGGACGCCAAAGCGGAATATCCACGAAAAGAAGGCAATTCTCTATTTGGTGGGATCAGAAGGGTATAATGTACCATGAGCTGTTGAAATTTGGTCAAACAGTCACAGGGCATCTTTACCGAGAACAAATTATCTGTTTGAGCCGAGCATTGCACAACAAACGACCAGAATATGAAACGAGACAGCATAAAGTGATTTTGCTTCATGACAACGCTTGGCCTTACAAAACTTGTCAAGGAAACGTTAAAAGCACTTCGATGGGAAGTGCTACCTCATGCGGCTTATTCACCAGACTATATCCTTTCCAACTACCGCTTGTTTCGGTCAACGACACACTTGCTGAGGAACGCTTCAATTCTTATGAAGACGAAAAATGGTTCTCTGATTGGATAACCTCCAAAGATGAGTCATTCTTTCGCCGCGGAATTCGCTTGCTGCCCGAAAGACGGGAAAAAGTCATTGTTAACGATGGGCAATATTTTAATTGATGTATTTTTTCATTTTGTTTTTTAAATAAAACTATATTTTTTGCAAAAAACGGACGGAACTTTCCGATTTAGCTAATACTTTATGATAACTCAATGCTGTCTACTATTGACACGTTGTGGTGCATGGTCTAGTGGCTAGCATTAAGGCTAACATCCTAGAATTAAGGATAAAGATGTCTATTGCTATGAGTTGAGTTGAGTTAGTGACAGTAACATCGAAGATACTATATAGGATAATCATTTCGCAATATTTTACAAAAGAGGCAATATGTTTTACTAATTTATATTAAGATTATATTTACTTGAAGTTACAATTATGTAAAATTACCAGGCAGTTTTAAAACGCGTTACCTTAAATTAAAAAGATTTAATTATTCTAACCTATTTACGAGCGTTATTTTGATATAATTAACAAAATGTTATCTAGATTATTATTTTAATTTTGGTTAACGCGTTTTAAAACTGTCTGTATTTTACATAATTATAACTTTAAGCAAATATAATCTTAATATCAATTAATAAAACATATTTCCTTATAATTTGTAAAATTTTGCGAAATTATTACCTTATATAGCATTTTTTATGTTACTGTCATTAATTCAATTTATGGCAATAGTAGACAGCGATGAGTTGTCTTATAGCTTCTACAGGATGCAGCAACGCTTGCCGCGTGGCGGAAGTTCGCGCGATAGCTAATCAACGTGTCATTTTTTTATAATATTGGGTCTACGCATAATTCCGTAGCGAAATTCCGACAAATGTCGTTCACAGTTGTTTTCCGCTCGCACATGTATCAAACATATGAAGTGTCGTACATTAAGTGAAAGCTGAAATTTGTGCCGACGTTTCAAAAAAGTATTCATCGAGATCCGTAACGTATAGGAAGTTTAATTATATTTTGAACATGGAAGGGAAAAACGTGCATTTCGCTTTTTTACTTCCGAAAGGGCAAAAACGCGTCGCAAAACTCACAAAAAGATATGCACTGTGTACGGAGAGAATGCCGTATACGAAAGTGTGTGTCGGAAATGGTTTGCGAAATTTCGTCGACCAGTCATTATTGATGTCGATCAAATCAAGGCTTTAATCGACTCCGACCGGCATTTGACGACTACAGAGATCGGACATAACCTCAACATTGACCAATCAACTGTTTCGAGACATTTACGGAAGCTTGGAATGGTAAACATGCTTGATGTTTGGATGCCGCACGAACTGAGCGAAAAGAATGTAATGGACCGAATTTCAGCTTGCGATTCGCTGCTCAAACGCCATTAAAACGAACCATTTTTAAAGCGGATGATCACTGGCGTTGAAAAGTGGATTGTCTACAACAATGTCAATCGAAAAAGAT